TTAAAGTTGTTTCAGGCTCATTATTTTCATTATTTTCGGAATCACTATCTGATATATTTATACCCATGATTTCGTTATCAGTTAACAGTTCACTGACTACAATATTTTCATCGATTGTAGCAAATGATTGAAATTTAATCTCTTGATCGATATTAAGTTTATCTGCTAAAATTTGCCAATCATATCCACCATCATCATCGTCATTGTTTTCTAAACCATCATCATCACACTGCTTATCATTAAAATAGAATCCAGCTTTTTTGAAACAATTGACAATTGTACTTGGTTGTATATTACGCCATGCTTTTTCACACACACGCATGGATTGTTATAGATTTATTGAGCATAGTCTGCCTTCATCAATATCGTAAACAATGTTTTGAATATTTCTTTGCGGTATAATGTTTTGAAATTTTGTATTATTCTCTGATCCATTGGTTGTAGTTTAGATATAGTATTTGGAGATAAAAATTCGATTTTTACAGATTTTAAATTAATATTACAATGAGCTGTACAGTTATTAATATATAATAAAACATTTCTTTGATTTAGTCGCATTTTTTGATCAAATTTTACAAGCCAATTTTTAAATAAATCACCAGTCATCCATGCCCTTTTGTTTGACTCATAATCATCTAATGGTAAACTATTAACTCCTTTAAAACATCGTGGCTTAATTTTTTCAAAACCTGACATATTTGATTCTAAAATAATTGTTATCTGTTCTTTGCTTGGTTTGCCACCTGAACAAGTTTCCCCTTTCAAAATAAAAGTGCGTCGGGTAGGCATTTAAAAAACAATGCTGTCTTATCCATATTAAATACATCATCGGGAGAATATTCTTTTATGATATTTGATAACTTTCCTAACAACTTATTACATAAAGAGTCATTTACTGAAGCACTTTTACCACATATTTTACGAAAAATTATGTTATGACGATTTTTCCAATTTTCTAACCAGTCTTGACTTGCGAAATATTTTGAATTTTCCTTTAGTATTGGTCCACTTATAAGTATATTTTTATCTCTACTTTGAGTAAACCATTTAAATAAACATACCTCTACATTTGGATATTTTACTAGTTTTGATCTTTTACAGTCATCTTTATTGTTTTCAAAATATCCGCTTTATTTTTTAAAAATGTTGACAGCGTATTTGGAGGAATATTAAATTCTTTTGCAATATCTTGTTTTTTCTGGTTACCTTTCTCCACTAATTATATCACATGAACTTTGTTAGCTATAGTTCAATGGTTTAATTTTCATTTTTGAGACATGTTTAAAAACATTCAAAAATACGCACGACAAACACGACGGGTAGAGTGTAGACACATACTAACCAATACATACTTATTATTATTGTGTGTGCGCTAATAATCAGTTTCTATCTACATGCACCATTTTAATGTAAAATATCTACTTGTAAAATAACGTGCTGCTTTCTTCATATAAGACGCTGCATCTGTTAAAAACAATAGCACGTCATCATAATGTATCCCTTCAAGCCTAATAAGAACAACGATCTGTCAAAAGCTTTACGAATAGTACTATATGGTTAGATTTATCAAGTTCTTCGACATTAAAAATATTTCACCAGGGCTATCGTGTGACAGAATACCAATAATTGTATTGACTATATATCTTCCTTTGATATTGGTCGTTTCGTCCATTGATATCCATATTTTTTTATCATTGACACAATTTTTAATTTCATTCATTATTTCGATGTAACATTCATCAATATATCCAATTCGCAATGTAGATTCATCAGGAATATTTAGTTCAGTATATTTAACAAGAAAATGTTTAAATTGCGGATTGGCTAACTTGTATAACGAAATGTTTGTAGCCATCATAGCTCTGCACAGATCAAAATTAAAGTTTGTTTTTTTTTTAAGTTGTAGGCAAAAGTTGCTCTAAATTTTTTCTTTCATTATTTTTTTGTTGTCGAAGAATTTATGCTTTGTGTTTTTCACTATTAATATGTTGCACAACACTAAAGCGTTTTTCACTTGCTATTTTTACTTCGCAAACCATAAATATAATATTTTGCGTCAGTTGAAAATATTTTTTCACTAAAATCAAGAACTAATCCTTTCAATGTATAGGCCGAAGGCGGTTTTTCTTTTTGTATGATATAAAAATACGAAGTTATTCAAATATATAAAAGATTTTAACGAAATGAAAAGAACAAACATATGCGCACACGTGTTACACATTTACTACAATAACTGAAACAATTAAAGTCAATAAGTATCAAGTAAATAAGACAATTTATATTTTTAATTCTACACATTTTTTTTTATTAATTTGTATAATACGTACCCAAAACACAAATAAACCAAATGAAGATTAATACTAGCAATTTATTTTTAATCATTTAATGTTGCAACCAAATTCCCATTTATAAATGATTGTATTTTTCTTTTTTCATCATAATATGATAAGAATATCAAAATTTTAAATAATAGGTAAATTTGATAAAATAGCAAAACGCATAAATATGGAAATTATGCAAAAACCTCTAAATACGCAAAAACATACAAAATAAACCACATATATAACCGTGATACCTTGAAGTAAATTTCTATATCATCTAGTATTAAATACAACTTAACAGGATTGATATGCAAATATATGATTTTTCGAATCCTGATTATAATATTGGCAGTAAGTTAACCTTGGAGTTAGTAGATAGTGGCCAGTCAGGAAAAACTGAAACTTTGTCTTTCAAATTAAAATCATTATGTATCCTCATAGATGACAAAATATAATAAGCTAAAAATAACTAAAATATATGTTAAAGTGGTATTTTTTTCTAAATTGATAAATAATCGTGTTATTTTTGTTGTCATTATTGTATTTAAAAAAATAAATCATACAATTAACAAGGTATGTACTTAAAATAACAAACCATAGTAAGTAGGTAACATGAGCGTCTTTAGGGGCGGCAAGACGGGGCACTTGCCCCCTCCCCCCTTAGAATTTTAAATTTGTTTCCTAATTGTAATAATTTAATGTTATACTGACGAAACATAATAATGTTCTATAAATAAAATGTATAATAATAATACCTAATTGTAATAATGACAAAACATGATAATGTACTATAAATAAAATGTATAAAAAAAATCTTTATTTATTTTTTAAATTAATTTTGCCCCCCTCCTTAAAAAAATGTGTGGGAACGCACATGGTAGGTAGGTATCTAATTTATGAATGCCAGAGTTATTTGAGATACAATTGACGAATTAGAATTTATTGATTTTCTACAAAAATTCACTATTCATAAACTACATTATGAAAATTCAATTTGTTCATATAAAAAAAAAAAATGCAGTTAAACCAATTTAAAAAACTTTAAAAATTCAAATTATGAGTAAAACCACTTTTTATGGTCATATTTAATATATTTTATTTTCCGTAACAATATTTTTTTCAATGTGGACCCATAAACAGATTACATTCCGCCATTCTTTTGAATGTACCTCTTTCAACCTTATAGTTTTTATTATTATATGTTAATTTGAATATAGATAATGGTTACGCTTAATTATTAAATTGGTTGAAAATTGAATGGCTATTACTCACAGTTACTTTTAATATTAGTATTACACAAATTATTACTACAACGAAAATTGAAATTTTCATTTTTTAATTGCTTGTAATCCCTAAATTATTTAAAGTTTTTCTCTTCGTGTGAAGCGAATGCTGTTCTTTTTTATTATGTTAAAATCAAAGGCTAAACTAAAAATATGTTTAATTGATTTTAGCCAAAACTCAAAATGTTTATACGATTTATCATTTATCAGCAAAAACAATGTATAAACTTAGAAATTTAGGCGTCACTGAATGACTTCCCTTTTCACACCTCCTTTTCCTTACCACCATTAAATTTGCTTTTATTGTACTCATTGTATATTGTATAGATTTTAAATTGCTATATTTTAAATAAAGAAAAAAAGCTTAAAAATATTGCAAATTTATAATGAAACAAAAAAAAGTTACGGACAAGAATTTACTTTAGTATAGTTATGGAATACTTTATCGGTTTCCTTTAACAGTTGAAAACAGTACTAATTATGTTTACGCTATTGTAAAAAATAGCGTTGCTTAAACTAAAAAAGTATTTTAATGTGAGTATTCAATAAAGTATAGTATCTAATAGTTGTGATTAAAATTTTAGTTAAATTGTATAGATTAGGAGTTGGGAACCCACGCTCCATGTAGCGATTTTATACGGCCCGCTAGTATATTTTATAATTGATATAAAAATATAAAATATCACATAATATTAGTTGATAACCTAACTTTGTTAATATATACCTCGATAAATTAATATAGGTACCAAACAGTGATGAAAAATTAGGAAACTTAAATAAATTAAATTAAACTTTGTTTAAAATTTAAACTGTAAAATGTGAATAAAATAAGATGTATGGCCTGTGAATATTTTTTATTATTTTTTGGCCTTTGACACCAAAAAAATTGTCGACCCCTGATATAAATGAATAATAAATAATTTCTTAGCATTAAAAAATTATAATAATTAATATGTAGGTATGTATACATAAGTTTCGTTAACTTTTTATTCTCGATTGCTATATCATAATGCAAAATTATGTATAAGTTGTACAACATTTGTTTATATTTATTTGTATTTTGATTATATAATATAATTAAAATTGCATTTCTCGAAAAAAAAATACGATACAAATACCAGTTGCTTATTTGAATGCAACCAAATCAATTTTCAAAATTTTAAGTTTCCTATTAAAGACGATTTACTTACATAACTTTAAATCCTTAACCCGTTGCTATGTATAAAGGAACAAAGCACTGTGGATACTTAAAAAATAAAAAATAAAACTAATAAATAAACTGGTTAAGATCTCATGGTCAATACGCAAATAATATACGTTTCTGAGTTTCCATCTGAGGAACTCCCTCTATTATTTACCAACAATATTATGTATAAATATTCAAGTGTAGTGTAGAATCGCAATAGTCTGTGATCAGATTCGTCGAGAATCATATAGAGCATAGAGCATATAGATTAGTCATTTTTCGAAATTAAGTTTTGAGAATATAATATCTGTTTTTATTTAAATTACTACACCATATTTCGTATAAATTGATGTATTTATTAAAAACGCGATATTTTGTCTCATTGTATTAACTTAGTTTTTGATAAGTGAAATTTTCGTCGAAACATTAAGATTTAATACAAATAAAAATTTAAACAGCAGGTAATAGAATTTTTTGACTTAAATACAAAACTCCATCAAGTTTAACAAAAAAAAAATACAATAACTATTATAGTTTAAGTTTATTCTGTTTTGTTGTAAACTTAATTTTTAAATATTTAAAATAAAAATATAATCGAGAAAAGAAATTATTATAATTTAAACGTGTAAGTTGTTTTCTAAGTACACGGAAAAATATATAATTAATAAAAGTAAATTGTTATAATAATTTTTTGTATTACATTTCTAATTAATTTGTCTATTGATATTTTTTTAAATTTAATTTTAATAAGGTAAACAACAAGTGTATTTAACATTTAAATTTACAAATTATATACATTTATTTACCTATTATATTTCTATTTAATAGTTTAAGATATTAATAGAGGTTAATATTAATTTATCTTTGTGAACATATAATTATATGAAATTATTATCTTGATATAAAATATAACATTATTGATTACTTGAATGCTGACATATTTATTAAACAAAAACACGGTGTTTATTCGTATATTTAAATTAACATTATAATATTAGTATAAATATTTTTTTAGAATCAAATTTATCATATTTTTCGATGACATTTTTTCATTGATGTTTTAATAAAACCTTTTTATAAATAAAGAGTAAATTAATAATACAAAAATATAACGATACAATTGATACATATGATTTTATTGTAGACAATAGACACTTAATAATCTATTATACAACTAATTATACTACTATAAACTATTTCTAAAAACATCATATATAGTTTTTGGTAACTTTGGCCTGCTACTATTTTATGCAAATTCAATTAGTTATATTTTTTCAACTTATATATTAAAGTTTGTTTTTATTTTATTTGTGTTTCTTTTTATCGATATTTCAGTCATGGATAACTACGAGAATGCAACTGAGTTATCAGAAATTCAATCATTTTACAATAATACTACAGTTTTTTTAACTGGTGCAACTGGATTCATGGGAAATTTAATTCTAGATAAATTAATAAGGTGAGAATTCTATTTCTTTATTTTTAACTAATAACAGTATACTTTATATATATATATATATATATATAAACATACATACTTACATGGTGATTCACTGAGCATATATTTACCCTCAGTTTTTCTTAAGATAATTAATTTATTCAAATTTTAAATAAACTCAATTAGTCACTATATTTCCAAATTTTTGAGATTTTTTCATCTACTAAAGAAGTATCCCGTAGTGATACAAATTTATATTTTTGAAATAAGAATATCCTTTTATATTGTAAATTATTTAGTGAATAATTTTTTTAAACAATTTTATATACCTAATTCAAACTTAAAATAAGCTTCTCGTGGATACAAGCTGGTGTTTTAAATTTTATGATTATCTATTTTTCACTGATGATCTGAAGCTTTTTTTCTCAAAATTTCTCATAAATTGATGATTGTTCAATGATTCAAAAAGTTCTTGACGAGTTAGATGTTTAGTGTCTTACCAATAACAGTCTTCAACTTAACGCATCTAAATGTGTAAAAATGTCCTTCTCTTGTTTTAATACCATTTTAAATCATAAATATTGCATTCTTGGTGATAACATAAAAGAAGTTAATATTATTCGTGATCTTACTATTTTTTCTATTATAACTTGTCATGTTCTTTCCGCATTGAACGAAAATTCTCTAAAGCATTAGAAAAACTTTAATTTTTCTAATCAAGAATATGAAAGAATTTAAAAACGAATTGTGTCTTAAAGCGTTAAATGATTTTAGTTAGGCCTATCTTAAAGTATTCTCGGTCATATGGAACCCCGCGTCTTAGTGAATTGCTTGAGCGTATCAAGAGAAAATTTTTTCGTCAAATTGTCTGTAAGAAACGCTAAGGTATATAATCTAACCCAATATTAGATACTTCACTAACAAAGATTCAAGCTAGTATTTTGATTCTATGGTCTTCAGACATAATTAATAAGTATACTAATGTATGCTTTATATTTAAACTTATGGGCTAATATTCTGTCCTTAGTTACTAAAATAATAAACATTTTTTATTTCCCTCAGTTCCAATCGTGTAAATGTCCTACTTTATCTATTCCAATACATCGTACCTCTTATAGCTACAGCTACAACAATCATATTGACTGTATCTCTTGGAGGTGGAATAGGCAAGATATCTTTGTTTTTATTTAAACCACTTACATCCTTCATTTGATTATTTTTAAGCTCTTGGTGTAAATTTACCATTTACCAAATTAATTTTTGAACAAGTAGTATTTTTTTCATTTGGTTATTTAAATTAAGATTGTTTTTATAAGTACAAAAATATTTTCATCTTAATAACTTTGCAAAAATGAATATTTTTATATTTCAAGGAAACAAAAAAATTACAAAAGATTTATATTTAATAATATTATATGTTTGATATATTATTTGATATTCTAAAACAGTGAATATAGTATAACTTATAAAAATTAAATGTTTGTAGAGTTATAATAACAAGTTATCAAAAACAAATTATTAAAAACATAAAAAACATTGCTGATTTAGATTCAAAAAAATAGTTATTTTAAATATTTAATTTTATATTTAAGGACTTGTTCGGGAGTGAAAAAAATTTATATTTTAATCAGAGAGAAAAAAGGAAAAACTACAGAAGAAAGATTTAAAGAACTCTTCGATGATCCTGTAAGAACTTGGATATTTTCATTATAATTTGTTTTTATTATTTTTCCACTGTGAATTAATTTGAAAAAATAATTATACAAATTTTATATTATTATAAATTTTGCTACAAATTTATAGTGTGATTAATTTAACATTAATTAACACTTATTATTTGAATATAATATTCGTATTGTGAATTTTGACGAATTATTCTAGGTATTTGAATTAATGAAAAAAGAAAAACCAAACTATTTAGAAAAGATCAGTGCGATTATCGGTGATTGTACATTACCAAATTTAGGAATTGAAGAAAAATATATAGACATTTTAAAAGATGAAGTAATTTATTTCAATAATATTATATAACTACCTATTGTAAATAATTTATATGAGTATTAATAAAATAATTTTAAACTTAGGTAAACATAGTTATACACTCAGCTGCTACTGTACGATTTGACGAACAATTAAGGATAGCTGTCAATATTAATATAATTGCCTTACAAGATATATTGAAAATTAGCCAAAAAATTAAAAAATTAAAAGTAAAATTAATAGATTATAGTTTATTAGTTTTAATTTTAGTTATTCTTATTATTTTTATCTTTTTGATTTAGTCTTTTGTTCATATTTCAACTGCTTATTCAAACTGTGCTGGAAGAGAAGTTGTGGATGAAGTATTTTATAAACCACCTATAACTGGAGAAAAATTATTACAGGTCGTCAATAGTTTAGACGACGATTATATCGATAAAATTACCCCTTCGTAAGTAAATTATATTGAAAAAATAAAAAAATAATAGTCATAATATTTTTTATATTATAGTAGAAGTTAGATTGTTAGACTAGAAAATAATAATATAAGTAGGTATATGATATACTAATATAAGAATATTATTATTATTATTATTATACAATATATAAAATGATAATAATGACTTAAAAAAAAAAACATTAAATAAAGCTAAAACATTGTTCAACGATGTTTAAAAATAAGTTTAATTATTTAATTTGTTATATTTTATACATACGGTATTATGATTTAAAGTTGTATATTGTGTATGTAACACAATTTAATAGATTTTCTATAATTTATTTAATTATATAATTTTTAATAGTTAGTTAAAAAAATAATAATTAAAATGCATGAATCATTTCTCCATGCAGGTTACTAGGAGAATGGCCAAATACATACGCGATGACTAAAGCCATTGCTGAGGCCGAAGTAGTGACTTATGGCAAAGGGTTACCAGTTGGAATTATTAGACCATCAATGAGTAAGAACAATTATGCAATATATATTTTATTTTAGGATTTAAGGTTTATATTTTTAACTGCACATGTTAATAACTAATAAGTAATAAGTACTCGAAATAATTATACTAATTATTGTATAATATGAATGTTACTAAATTATGTTATTAAAATATTAGTTATTGCCACCGATATTGAACCTGTACCTGGATGGATCAACAATGTCTATGGACCAACAGGAGTTGTAGCAGCTACCGGCGTTGGCCTCATGAAATGCATGTATGCTGATTCTAATAAAATAGCCGACATCGTGCCTGGAGATTACGTCAGCAATGCTGTGTTAGCTTGTGCTTGGGATATTCACAATCAATGGGTAATTATAATCCATAAAATATTATAAAATATACAGTGGTATGAATGACTTATTTCACAGCAACAACAGTTTTCTAAATTTCCGGTAAATAAAATCAATATAATATGTGTAAATAAAAACTGGGTAATTCGCACTGCTGTATAGTGTCCCAAGTTGATCAGTTTAGGTCACAGAATAATGATGTGTAAAATTTAAATTCAATGGTAAAAAAAAAGTCAATTATTTGTATATATTACATTTATTGTATTCAAATACAATTATTTTGGTTTGTCGTATTGGCTGACTGCTTATTCCCCTCACTCCACCCTCTAAATTAATACAGAAAGTATATTTTAGCAAAAACCAAGCAACCTTCAAAATTGAATCGACGATTAATAAAAATAATGATATGATACAAAACTGGTTGGATTCTGATCGAGCAGAAAAAAAATGTAGTTTTACAATGACTTGGGTGTATTTTTTTTTATTATTTATTTATTTATTATATACGTCGTTACTAGACACTAGGGTTAGGATTTATATGCATGGGTATAATAGTTTTTTTCATTTACTGTTTCTGTTTAAATGACCTTATACAATGTCAACGAATTGCCTCATATTATGTATAATAATAATAATAAGTAAGTGGAAGGCTTGTAAGACAAACATGCATAAATCTATTTTTTATTTTGCATATAGTTGCATATTTTAAGATTTTTTTTGTAATACATAACATATTGTATCTTTGTACATAATTATTTTGTAGATATGAACAAAAGTTGTGTGAAGCTGTACAGATTTTGTCGTATTATGCTCCTAATATAATTTAATAAAATCAGTAATTTTGACTGATAAAAAAAAAAATATAATTAAAATTCCATGGATTCTTTTATAAATTAGATATATTTTATATTGTACAATACTCATAAATTTAAATGATCAATACAAAAAAAAAAAAACAGTGGAAATTCAAAAACTTTTACATAGCACAATTTTTTAACAAAATCATTGGTATTTTTTGTTATAATTGAAAAATAAATAAACCCATACAGATTTGAATATTTTGCCAAATATATAAATATTAGCATTTTATAGATAGAATATAAACATTGTAATACAATACCTATGGAATCTATAGATCATGCAATTCATAAAATTCCGTTAAATTACATATTAGGCGTTGCTGATCTGATCTATTAAATATAACCTATGAGATTTGATATCACGTATATTTAATACTGAAATATACAGCAAAATAAATTAAAAACGTTTGAATTATTTTAGGGAAAAAAACAATACAATAAATGCTGATAATTTAGATCAAGAAACATTTGAGCCACCTATTTACAATTTCGTATCATCAAGTGTTAACCCATTGACATGGGGAGAATTTTCAATGTTAAACAAGAAACACGGATGTAAAGTGCCTTCTGTAAAAGCGGTATGTAGTTTAAATACCTTATAAACCTAATAAATATAAATTAGAAATTTATAATAATTGTTACAATTAACTGGATAAAAAAATTCGTCAATTTTTAGATTTCACCAGCTATGTTGAGATTATCAAAATTCAAATTAGAATACCAAATTTTGTGTTTTATTTTGCACATTATACCGGGATTTATAATTGATTCCTTAGCTAAACTTGTCGGAAGGAAACCTCTGTAAGTGACACAATGAGAACAATAATTATTATTTACAATCGAAAATACATATTAAACCTTGCTTATAATATTACATAATACCTGTAAATAATTTTTACTTTTTAGATTACTGGAAGGATATAGAAAAATGCATAAATTCTCGAGTGTTATATCTTACTTTAGTTTAAAATCGTGGAAATTCAACGATAATAATACGAGAGCTTTGATACAAAAGTTATCAAAACTAGATCAAAAACTTTTCAGATTCGATATGACCAAACTGAGCTGGGATGACTATTTCAAAAAACACGTATTAGGTATTCGAAAGTATATTATTAAAGATCCATTAGAAACAGTACCAGAAGGAAAAAAAAGGAATCAAAGGTGAGTAATACAAAAGTGAATATTAACTTCACCATCAAATGACCGGAGCATCAGAATTGCATGCAAAAAAATTAAACATAAATTGGAATGTCCAAATTGCATGCCAACTCTTAAAGGGGTCTATCCGAATTGCATGTCACCTCTTAGAGAGGTCTGTCCAGATTACTTGCCGTGTATCCATAAGTTTATCTTTTGTTATCATGCACTTATGTGCACATATTAAACTTGATTTTTGATTTTTCTATTTTTTTTAAATAACACATGAATAGAAATTAATCAAGTTTCAAGATTGAAATATTTTTATATCCGAGTAAACATTTTACCAAACTATAGAAAATGACTCTATGAATATTAAATAAAACGATTGTAATTTATGGTAATCGAGTGAATGTATTTCACATTTTTACATAGCATTTCAAATAAACAAATATTATAAAATTTAGTGGAGTTTTTGATAATATACAATACCTATATTATATATATATATATATATATTTTTTTTTTTCATTAGAAAAGTTAAAAATAAAGTTTAAGTTGTGCATATAAGTGCATAATAAATAAAGATAAGCTTATAGGTATATGGCATGCAATTTGTACACACAACTCTAAGAGATGACATGCAATTCGGATGTAGCCCAAATGACTATTAATTAAGATTTTCATTATTGTTATTGTTATTTTATTTTCAGATTATACATGGCTTACTACACATTACTATCCATTTTAGCTGCATTACTATTGTTAATAGTGTATGGAATTTTTTGTTTATTTATTTAATAACAAAATGTTTGTTAACTTTTGGAATCTCATCGTCATACTGTTCACTGTACAGACAAATCTTATAAATTATTTATCGTTCAATTTTTTCCTTAGTATAATTAAAATGTTATTTTTCATTCTAGTTTTATAATACCTACATTTAAATTATTATTTAATATAATTTAATTATTTATTTGTATTTATTTTCAATTTTATTATTTTATAACATAATTATATAAGAAATACCTATATGGTATTTACAAGCAACAATCTTGTAAACATAAAATAAACCCTTAAATATTATCTGTGCCTAGTTGCCCAATTTAATAATCCTTTAAGCCCCAAATTGCACTTATGATGTTCAATGGTTTTCAAGTGATAAGTAGAAATAAATTTATGTATACAAATTAATGTATTTTAAATTCTAATCAGAGCAATGAATATATTAATTTTAAAATGCATGTGTTTAATTGTTTACGTATCAGGATTAGATCTAGAAATTTTCTAGAGAAGCGGGTTTAATAAAAAGTAATGTATCATTGGCGATTAATGACTTCAGAACCTCTATATTCATATTTCTTTATAAAACAGAATCTTTGTGTGCAACTATTATAATTTTTCGAAGTTGCATTTAAGTTTACGAATAGAATATTTTTGCTTGGTTTCAATAATTTGTATTTATGTTATAAAATCTTATTTTTTATTTCATTTGAGGGCATGCGCCACTTTCACCTCCCCCCCCTTGAATCCGCCTTTGATATACGGCTGCATCTGAATTACATGTCAAAATAAAAAAAATTCCAAATTGCATGCCACCTCTTAGAGGAGTATGTTCAATTTGCACACTATTTACCCACAAGTTTATATTCATTTATCATGCTCTTATGTGCACAAATTTTATTTTTGACTTTTCTAATTTTCTTAAAAAAAATTATGCTATGTTGTATATTGTCAAAAATTCCATCAAATATAGTTGTTTATTTGAAATTCTATGTAAAAATGTAAAATACATTTACTTAATTACCTTAAATTACAATCGTTTTATTTAATATTCACAGTGTCATTTTCTATAATTTGGTAAAATGTTTACTTGACTATAACAATATTTCAATCTTGAAACTAATCAGTTTCTATGAATGAATTTTTTAAATAAAATTAAAAAATTAAAAATAAAGTTGAAATTGTGCATCACATTGTGGGGTTACACAGCATGTAATTTAGACAAACCACTCTAAGAGTTGACATAAAATTTGGATATTCCAATTTAGGTATTTTTATATTTTTGACATGCAATTCGAGTACACCTGTATATACGATAATTAGTCAAAAAAATGCTTTAATTTTAAATTTAAATGGGTATTTTTAGATAGAAAATTAAATTTAGCTTTACTTTACTAAAGAAATCAAAATTAGAAACAAAAAAAAAAATTTTGTGAAAGCAGAAATTTTTATTTAAATCTAGTTTATGACAACATCTTTTTTTGCTTAAGTGTAACTCGTAAACAATAATAACCAAAAATATTTGAAATTTTTAAATAATAACATTTTGAAAAAAAATTTTAAGTTATTTGTATACTTTTAAAATTTTAAAATTTTTAGTTTTATTTCTATAAATGTTGATAAATATTTTTCACTTGACCAAAAAACTTGAATATTTAATACAAGATCCCATATAGGTTGTTTTTATAGATATGTAAAACTATTTGCATACATAGATACACTTTATTTTTGTAAGCATTTGAAGTTCAATATTTGAAAAAATGATTGAAATGTTTAAGCTACAAGTAATTTGCAGCGATATAAAAAATTAATAAAAGATAATATGTAAGCATAATTTTTTTATAGAAATTTAAAATTTAAATCTGGATGGATTTGCATTTTTAAAATATAAATATGTATACATAATAAATGATATTCATTGTTTTGTTATAATTCAAAAACATTATATACGTAATAGCAATATAAAAAAAAAACACAACATAAAATATAAGCTGATAGATCGTCTCCGCACAGAATGATTTTTCGTGTATAATAATATATACTTGAATTATAATTTCACTCATCCATCACAGTGATCCATTTAATACCTATACTGTCCAGCAGATGAGCGATATCACTTTCTCATTTTTTTTCACGACTTTTAAACTATTTGAAGGATGTGACCTGAAAGTTAAAACTAGTCTAATACAAATATGTCACTGGCTTTATCGATTCTAGATTGAAGTTAAATTATATTGTATTAAATTGATTGTAAGTAGACCTTTTGTCTTAAACCATTAAACTAAATACCAATTTATTTCAAAGCAATATGTGAGTGTATTAAAGATATTTGTTTTGGTTTTCTTTGGTCATTGAAACCATTCTACCAATTTTTCTCCATTTGTTTCTTTCTTCTGCAACTTAGCTCCACAGCAATGGCGAACCGAATAGCTCAATTTTGACGCAGCTGCGTCAACTTTTTTGGGGTACTTTTCGTTGAGAACAGTACTATGTGTATAAATGTATTGGTTTGATATTAAGGGGTGGTGGTTATGGTAAATAATTAAACACGAAATTGCGTCATTTAAGTTAGTTTGCCACTGCTCTATAGTATAAGTAGTATAACTAATTGAATCCTTTTCACGCCAGTTTCCACTCGAAAAAATATAAATGGCTTAGTGGCTCGTCAATCGTAATTTGATGTATCAGAATATAACAAATTAAAAAATATATTATTGAGAGTGGTCAAAATAAGATTAAAAAGAAAAGATAAAAGTATATTGGCACGACATACGTCGTACACAATAGACGATGGTGGGAGGTATACGAGATGGCGAAATGGGTGCAATATTGCAATATATATATATAGTAAGTATATAGTATAGACACCGGTCACCTTTGCAACGTTGTCGTGACAGGTTCCACTGGCAAACAGGTGTTAGCATTCAAGGCAAGCGGCTAGTGCGCTATTTCGCATATGCGTTGACATAGGACAATTCTGCGATTGGTGGACGGCAAGATTGGTTCGAAGTAAAAAACAGATTCAACTGTCCGTATATACTCTCCAGAGTTTCGTTCCTAACGTCCTGAAGTCGGCCGCTTCTGCCATCTAATAGCAGTCAGACTCGCACGCCACCGGACCCTGAAATATTGAGTTTTGCGGGTCCGGTACCTACGTGTTTCTAGCTCTTTATATCGTCACCAATACCGTGCCAAAGTCTCCGTCACGTTGTCAACATCGTCTATCATTGGAACCATGCGACCAAAACAGTCGGGCTTCCGCCAGAGGCACATTTAGGATTTTTTACGGCCGGGGAGAACGTTGAAATTACGCCTGATTAAAGCTGACCAAGGCTCAAATACCCTTCCCTACAATATTATTTACATATAATAATTAGCGTACAAACATACTTAATGATTTTTTATTTTATTTTTAAGTTATGTAACAAAGTTAAAAATATCAAGCTAGTTAATTCTTCGAGAATCATAATATTTGTTTTACAATTCAACAAATTAAATAATTTACAATTAAACTTTTATATCATTTTTTTAATAAATAGGTACGTTTTTATTAATATACATTTTTTTTTAACCGAATAAACAACTATTGGTTGAACCTATTTTTTTAATTTTATACACAATTGCTTTGGATAAATATTTATTAATATTAATTACTCGTATTAATCTAAATTATAACCTAATAAGTAGGTATGCATTGAATTTTGCTTGCTAATTGGTAATTTTTACACGCAACAAAAAAAAAAAAAGTGTCTTGTACTTGTACTACGTACTTTATAGCACAGGTTATTATTGATCTTAGTGATACTTATAACTTATAAGTAATTATAGGTATAATTTATATCTATTACTTAGTAGTTAGTAATTCAACTTAGTAGTTGATATAAATATAATTTTTCAAACAACACGAAACAAAAACTTAATTTTAAATATTGATTGTATGAACATTTTTTTGTTTAATTAAAAAAAAATATTAATCACGTTATGTTTAATAATTACTATGTTTTAAATTAAATTAAAATTATTTATATTAGTTTAAAATTAAATGTATTTATTCATATATTTTGTAACCATTGACAAATATTTTGTTATAATTGTTATAACATAAAAAAATAAGTATAAATATATTCAATATTGTATCAACTATTAATTTTAAATATTTAAATTCCACAATCATATTAAAATATTTTACTAGCGCTTCCGTGTGCGACTTCTATCCCACCAAAATCCTCTTATTAAAACCTCTTCTCTCTAACTCTCCGTCTCTCCCAGGAAATCCAAAGCACGGGCTAAAAAAGGAAATTGTATTGTAACCTCCTACAATTACCAATTTAAAATATACAATATACATATGTATATAATATATTAATATATACAAATATATACAATTCCAAACATTAACAATTAAAAAAAAAAAAAAAAAAAATAATAAATATATATAAAAATAACTCATGCTAAGTGTCGCCAGTGGGCGGCTTCTTATTCAATTTCTCACGTCCTATCTTCTTTTAACACATAAGCTTATTGTACATTACTTGTATAGATTGTTTATTTCTGATAAAAAAAAAAATAATAAAAATAAAAATATTCAAATGCTCAGTGAGATATTATTTTTATTTCAATATATGTATCACTTACGATCATTAATTTTTATGAACATAGATACTTAAAATAGAAAAAAACAGCTTAATAATAATTATTATCTGTACATATCAATTGTTAATTAATTTATAGAAGCAAAAATATAAGCTTAAAACCTCTTACGTCCATGTAATCCGAACTTTTTTAACAAAGAATGAACTAAGACTCGGTGTTACATAGTTGTAGGTATCTCAGTTTTGATGTAGATGATTGCCGATTAGTTCACTGACTAATCGTTAATTTTTAATTATTATTTTAAAATTCGCATTAAGTTCGACTTCACTAAAGAAAAAGTTTTACCATTTTTTGTATTAAATTTTTATTTTATTTTCCTGGACAGATAATGCTACTATAATAATATATTCGTGTTTTATCGCTCAGTACCTATTCCGTGTGTGATCTTTCATTAAAAAACTGTATGACGATCGAATAAGTGATTCCCGAAGTCATTGGCATTGATGATT